GGAGCATCGAAACATGAAAAACATTATGCACCTTAGGTATAGAAGATGGTAAAGAAACCTTACATGTCATGTCATTTACACATTCAGAAATCTCAAAAGGACCAATGTATCTTGAACTCAACCTTTTACGATTACCACATCCCATCATTCTCTTTAAAGGAGATACTCGTAGGTAGACACAGTCCCCAACTTGGAAATGCAGAGATTGCCTCTTCATGTCTGTATTATTCATTTGTCTACTATGAGCAATGGGAAGACACTCCATAATGATTTGACTTTTTTCCATTATTTCCTGAACCATAACAATGATTATAATTTTCAATTATTAATCATATTCTTAGAGAGATATATTAGGTCATTTTAGTTCTTCATATTGTTTAGTTAATTGCTTTGAAAGATTTCTTTCAAACTCCCTACATTTACTATTGTGTATGTTTATACATAGGCCCAACTACAATGGCAGAAAGTAAAATAGAATCTAAACATGTAGTTAGCATCTTTTACAACAACAACCACTATATATATATATATATATATACATATGTTGACAGTAGGTACACATCACTCCCAAAATCCTTTCACAAGGAAAAAATATGGTCCAAGATGAATTAGTACTCATAGCCCACTGTTTGACACTTCACTACCAGTTTGCATATCAAAAAGTGGAATATGAATATTGTGGATTGATGGTGTGTGTGTGTGTATATATATATATATAAGATAAATAATAAATAAACTATTACGAGTTCTATAGGTATAGGAAAATATGAATGGTTAAATGAAAAATATAGATGAGTAGTTATATATTATAGCTAGTCAAACAAATTCTGAAGTGCATTGTGCTTGGCACAAGGCAAAGGCAATAGCACCTTTTGAGTATGAAGATCAGGTGGTGGCTGAGGATCAGCAATGACTGGATTTGTAGCTTGCTTTAATGTGTATTCCCATTTGTCTTGGAAGAGATAAATGAAAGCAATAACACACACCTGGCTTGTGAAAAGTATTGTCCAAACCAATGTGCTTCTTCCTGTTTTTTCCTTGTAGGCTTCTAAACCTGTATAGATGTTTATAATACCCACCACACATATTGTTGTCCCAAGAATCCAATGTATAAAGAACCATGTTGCTCTTCTTTTGTCTCCTCTACATACATAAACACACACATCACATATGTACATATAAAAGTAGGAATTAAATGAGAAAAAGTTATGTACATGAATATTCTTGTATATACATGTACATACCTAGGAGGCCTGAGAAATCCAATTATGCCTTGCACCCACATGCCTCCATAAAGAGCTAGACCTAGTCTTTGGTGATTGTTGTTGAATGAATTTTCAAAATTTTTGATAGACATCACTGCTCCAACTGTTGCAACAAGTACTGAAAGTGTCTGCTTTCACATAAATATAGACAATTATTTCCTGAAATAAAACAAAAATTTTACCTAATAATATTGGTGGAGTTTGTGTATATTAACTTGATTGTAAAAATTATACGAGTTTTATACCAAAAGGACACTCCCGTTTTAAAATCTCAAGACTGAGCACCACTAGCACAACAACCTTTTAAACCAAATAACCAGCTTTTATAAGTAGAACTTAACAATCACATATGTTTCTAATATAAAATTAAAATATCATAATTTTCGTCACTTAATCCTTGATGTTCTCACAAGGCCAGACACAAAGATCACACCATTCCAGAGTCACCGAACTGGCACATGATCCGATACTATCTGTAATACTCCGAATCCAAGCACCACTAATCTAATTGGGAAGTAGTACGTGACTTTAGTGCTTATATGAATCTCAATGGTTACATTTTTTCGAGTAGAGATTGGGATATCACACCCATATTATATCTTAGTGTAAGAAAGCATTATTTCATCTATTAAAACTAGTACATCGCATACGGTAATTGTATAATAATCATGTTTATTTTGCTCAAAAGTAAACTTAATTAACTACCTAGATTGCTTGCTAATTACAGAACATGCAGATAACAGAATGATGATGGCATTCTGCAAACTAAATCAACTTCATATTTTAACACTTACTAATCATAAACACATGGAGAGAAATTGCTGGTGTATCATAATTATCTGATAGACAACTTATATATATGTATATAATATTATTAAGTATCAGTATTCTTCTTCTTCATGTTGAAGAAATAATGATAAACATGGTCAAGTATTTGGTGGTGGAATTGATAATTCTGATCTAACTGGACTCTACAAAATAAAACAAACAAAAATAAAGGGACAAAATTATTAAAGTAAAAGTGGGATATAATGATGAGTTTAACCAACATCAACATTTGTATGATCATCCATATGATCTTGTGACTTCAAACAAGTATTTTGTGGGTTTATTGTATATGTAAAATAAATATTGTTTAACTCTTACTGGTTCTTCATATATTATGAATACTGGTGAAAACTGAAGGGTGTGGAAGATGCAGAAGTATGTACGTATATATGTATGTTTGCGTGTGTATATATATATATATATGCATATACCTGGAAGATGGATATACCTGAAAGATTCCATGGAGATAGAAAAGAAGTTTGAGCCTTGTCCCAGTCTCCTGTGTATTATTGGGTAAAATTCTAATAGTAAGTATGCCCATTGGCATTAAGAAACCCATTGAGAGCCACATGAGAATCCCATGGAGTGCCACTTTTGAGGTCATTTGGGGACTCAACTGTCACACACACACATAGTAACTATATATATCAAATGTCAAAGCAGTTAAAATTAATGCTGAAAAAAAGAAGAAAGAAAAACTTCTAATTATATTCTTTACCTAATACTGTAAATAAGAATCAAAAGGAAAAACAAGAGAAAAGGCATAATATTGAAACACAACATATAAGTATATAGATATATGTATATGCACAGAGATGAGATATAGTGAAACTGGATGGTGAAGAGTGGAAAATTAGCAAAGTGTAAATATGCATGGTTGAAGAAAACAACGAAGCTTGGTTTACCTTGTGAACATATTGATCATTGGTACTTAACTCCGTAAGGTCTTGATGGGAAGAGCAAGTCACAGGTGGTAGAAGCCAAATGTAATGTACAAGGATACACACTGATGCTAACAAACAGTTAAATCTAAAACCTTGCATCCTTCAATCACCAACCAACAGGTATATATGGATATAATATATATATACACACACACACAAAGAGATACAAAAACACCTCTCTCTCTCTCTCTCTCTCTTTTTCTCTCTCACACACACACACACACACACACAAGATCTAAGCTTGATTTTGATGGATTCCTTATGAAGGCAAAAGGAGACCAATTATCAGATTACTAAAGCAGGAATGTATCTTGTGTTTATATATATATATGTATATAATTCGATCACTAAAATGCTACAATATACATGTATATATCTTGGTAGTTGCAGAGATGAGAATTGCAGCTTCTTTTTGCATAAAGAAGCCACCCTGCTATCATTATAGGAAAAAAATATAGTAAAGAAAGGGACTTGATACAAAGTGTTATATACTAACCATCTTTAATGGATTAATCTGTGTTGGTTAAATAGTTTCAATTATATGGTGGTTGTAGAAAGCAAGTTTTATTACAAAAAGGAGAAATGACATTATTACAATAGTGGAGGTAATTATGATGATGAATAGTAATTCCGCATATTTTCAAATGTGGAGCTGAGTAGAGTGCGAATTTGGGATGCCCCAAAAAAAAAAGAGCTAGGGTCAAACTTTTAATGGATGAGAACTCCATCATGAGGTCGGTCTAATGTGTGTGTGTGTGTGTGTGTATGTATATATATATCCATGCATCTACTTTATCTTTAGTGTGATTTCTTTTACAACTTAATATATGCTTTACCATTAAACAAAGAATTAAAAATAAAAATTTTACTCTAAGCGAGAACGTAGATAAATGTTAAGTCCAAATTCTTTAATTTAATTGTTACAATAATATATGTTACATTAAGAGAAAGCAAAAAACTAACGGAACTAAATAAATTTATTCAAATCGAATCGGTTAAGAAGATTAATTTAGTTGAACAGGTAACAAAAGAACCAATTTTTTAAATAATTTGATTCTCCGCTGTCAAGTATAAACTCTTATTTTTTTACTTAAAAATTATGAGTTCAAATTTTAATTAAGATGGAAAACTTACTATTTTATGAGTATATTCTAAGTTAGCTCGTTTATTAATAAGATTACCGTGATACTAAGTTAAGCTAAATCTAAATATTTTACACCAGTTAAGTATTTTTAATGATAGAAATCACAAAAAGGTTAAAATAATCTTTCATTCATTTCTTTTTTTCTTTTTTCTTCCTTATTTGTTGTCTTCTTCTTCTTCTCTCTCCAAATTGAAAAAGCAATTGCAGAGAAAAGGGAAAAAAAGAAACGTTAAAATCTAACATCAATCAGACACAAATTAAAACTATGAGAAGTTAACTTGATAAAATAAGAATAACCCCTTTAATCTGAGTACCAAAATTTCACCTCTGCAAGAAAAAAACACTCTCTTTACTTTCTACCAACTAAAATGTGGAAGCTAATTTGTAACAATCAAAAAAATTTAGCTTTTTTTCTTTCAAGACAGTTAGAATTTCTTTTTTTGTGAGAAGTAAAATTAGAAATTCTTACTGGGAAGCAGATTTTCTTTTTAAGAAACATCAAATACTAGACTTGCACACCTATTTGTTTAAGGCATAGTAGGAAATATATCTCAATCGTCTGTGAGCTAGACGACAACCGTCATCAACCATATCATATATGCAGTTCTGTAAGATAAATAAGCAGGGATTAAAATAGAAATCTGATATTCAATTCTAATTACTTGACCAGAAGGAAATTGAATCATAGCAGTTCTTGAAAAAGAAGAATTCTGAAAAAAAAAAAAAAAAAACATATAGATCAATCAAGTTCAATCTCTGATAATCTAAGATTCTCAGATAAACCCAAGAAACAAAAACTTCCACAATAGTTTCTACCAGACCAAAGTTCAGAAACAGATCAAGTTTCACCTCAATGCATCTCTTCATCCGCGTAGGAGTTACATAAATAAGTTGGGCCTTGATGCCTTGTATGTGGTCTTCAACTTTCTAGATGGAGGTCTAACTTTCTTAAACACCAAGGGGAACTTGATTTTGGAATTGTGGAACTGTTTTGTGCTCTCCCTCTTGCATAGCTTTGCCGGGATGGTGGCAGTCTTGATAATTTGAATGCAAGGGAACCTTACCCTGTGGCGAGATGCCATCTCAGTGTACATCTGCTCCACAGCTCCATTCAGGGTGGTGTCTCGGTATTCCTTGTACATATTATGATAACCTGTTCGGCTCTGGTAACGCAACCAAATACCATAGTTGTTGATCTTGGTTGGGTTCTTCTCAAAAATCTGCAAGTGATTCCAAATGGTTGTAGGTCAGATGCAACCACATGATAACCACTTCTCCACAAAACTTTACAAGTTAAGCTCATAGACCAAAGATAAATGCATATAATGGAACACAACATCAAATAATCATGCATCTCAGTGACCTGTCCCACACAATATAGAGCAGAAATGGAGTACTTGTTTTCCGATAGACTGAAGATAAGTATTAAATCTGCACTTAAATTGAAAATATAAACCCCAGAAGTTACTGCACTTCAGGAGAGTCCAGTACAAAGATCTCAGACATCCAAGAAAAAATCAAAACAGCATTAGCTCTCAAGCCAGGCAAAGGCGAAAGCTCTTAGGCGGCCACCACAAATGTTTTGAGAAACAAGCCTATGGAGTTGTCATCATTGACAATATATCAAAGGCATGAAGAATCAAGTTTTCCATTCTTATGATAAAGATGGCACCGCATAGACCCAACTACAAGGATACATAAACAAGGCTTGCCACTATTCATAACATCAACTGACTAACTGAAAATGTAGAAAAACTTCTCTGTAAAAATACAGAAATCATTAAAATTTCCTCGTATATATATAACTTTGGGCAGAGCATAAGCTTCCAGAACTTAAAGAGTACATAGGTGTTAGACATCCAAGGAAGGTGAAGCAGCACAAGCTCTCAACCCAGGCAAAGGCAAAAGCTCTTAGGCACCTACTGCAAATATTCTGAGAAACAAGCCTTTGGGGTTGTCATCATCAACCAAAAACAGTATACAGGAAGAAAGCCTCCTCTCCTAAGCAAAAAGATGGCCTAACATATGAACTAATGAATCAACAAGAATTACCACCACTATAACCACCAGTAGATATCAACTGTCCGTATGGAAAAGTTGTCACATGCTATAATCATTACAATCACCTTCTTGCAGAAAGAATAGACAGACTAGGGGATTATCTAAAAGATTGTTATTAAATTTATAAATTAAAAATATGTAAATGCCAATTCAGTCAATAAGGTTAAGGAATACAAGAAAGACTCAACCAAGACTAGACCTATTGGAAGGAACAATAAGGCTTATAAGAAACTTCAATGATTTCGCCCATATGATTCAAGTTCAAACCTCGTATTTCAGAGGTACGAACTAGACAAGTAAATTGAAAAAACAAAAATTTCCTCTTAAAATATATCAGGTGAGTACAATATTAGTCTGTTTTTGATCTTCTATACCCCTTTCAAAGAATATTATAAGAGTTAGGTAGTACACAGAAATCAGACATGAAAATTACCTCATTGATAGCAAGCATTTGTCCATTGCTCTTCTTCACCTTCTTCAGCTTCCTCAGAAAATACCTTAAGCAAATAAGCAAACACAATCACATCCTCAGTATCAAACTCCACAACAATCAAACAATATATCGCTAAGCTAAAATGTCAAAACGACCGAAGTGACTCACCAGAACTTGGACTTAGCACGAACCTCGTTCGTCGCCCAAAGCTTCATGCGGTAAATCTTGGGGTGCTCATCAGTTTCTGATGGAAGAGCTCTCCCGACAACCTGGTATTGGTGAAACTGCATAGCCACACACAAACGAAATATTAACTCCTATGCCGAATTCAGCATCAAGGTTTAACCCAACGAAAACCAGTCGTCATCTATTCTATTTCTCAGCAGCCAAACATACTACAGTAATGTCTGAGCGAAAATAACAAGCATGCTGATGATAAACGAAATAACAAAAACGAGAACGATGCATTAACCACGTAACGAAGAAATCGAGAACAGTAGTATAACGGGTGCATCTGCAAGTAACAACGAACTTACCCTGTAGGCCACCATTTTCTTCTTCTTCGAGGAACAAGCAGATGTTCGCAGCCTCCTCTCTATCATTCGATTAGGGTTTTTTCAGTCTTAAATATGGTGTTATGGGCCGGGTCGGGCTGCGCGGGCATTAAGTTGGTTAGCTGATGGGCCCAAGCCCACCGTCCGTGTGGTTGAATGTTTGGAGGAAAAAAAAAACCCTAGTTTAATTGCATATTTGGTCCCTGATTTTTCTTTTGATTTTCAAATTATACCCTAAATTAAGTTTTTCTTTTTTTTAGAAAATTTTGCAATCTAGTCCTTCATATAGTATTTAATTTAACATAAATAATAACTGATAATTTTAGGGTCAAATATATTCACATGATTTTTGTTGTAATTTAACTAAGTTATATATATATACATATATATATATATGTGAAAACCATGAAGTAAGGGTTTTTTTTGCACAATCAAACCTTCTCAAAATCTTCAAATTTGTGTATATTTTTTTTATGAATAACCAAATCATGTTGAATGGGTTATTCGGTACAACTATTTTAATTACGGACAGCTAATTGTTATATGATATTTTTTTTATTTAAATAAGTAGATATGTCATAATTTACATAAATATAATTTATTTTTAATCGCTACAGTTTCACCAACTCACTAATAAATTAAATTATTGTCATCACTAAATTGAGTGTTGTAACCAGACCATTGCGAACCTATCTGTATTTCTCGATGATTTCTTCTTTAAGAACAAATCAAAGTAGTAATATTTAATATTGAAAATACGAAACATAAAGTTTTACACGATGCATCTCGTTGAACCACATTCTTATGATATATCCGTTTTACATGATAAATTTGTTGTCTATCACAACAAATACAAATGGAACAAAATCATATAAACTCTTAATCATCTTTTTTTTTTTTCTTTTTCTCATACATCATTTACCTAATAAATTCTTTACAAAAAGTTCAAATATGATATATATATTTTATATTTTTAGTGAAAATTTGTTTATTATACGTAATTTTTATTTGATTTAAATAAGTAATAGACTCGTATAACTTTCTATTTAAATTTATATAATTTTTTTAGTTCTAAACAATCCATATATCATCGAAATTATTTAGAATAACTTCTTAATAAATATTTTTTTTAATAAGTCAACGCCACATAAATAGCCGCACAATTTTAAAATATTTTTTTTCAAAGAATGTCAAGTCGGACACGTCGAATAAGATTGAAAAATAAAATAAAATTGTATCAATAACGGGATTCGAATCCATGATTCCATATTTGATGACTTAAATCAACTTAACCATTTTGGTGAAGTCATACTTATGTGTCCATAAGAGTACCAATAAAATTTATGGATTATTACTACTAAATATATTCTTGGTCATATAAAAATATTATATAATAGATCATAATTTTTATTTATGCATAAATATATATATATATAACTTAAATGATACAAGACCTTTTAATAGAAAATAAATGACTTGATATCAAATGTTGTGAGTTTATGATAGTTGATTATGCATTTTTAATATAAATCCCACAAGCATTAAGCTTGAAGAACTAAGCACAAACTAGAAGCAAAATTACTCATATCTATATATATATATATATATATATCATCATATTGGCATAAAATTATTAAAAAAGAAACATACTCTAAACCTAATTAAACATAAATTTTGTACAACTTTAAAATGAATTGCTTCTTTCACATAATATAGTTGACAAAAAGAGCAATACGAACACAATTTGCAGTCTTACACAATTCAAATAATATACTTCTTCCCCTTTTACAGGAAGCAAATTGAAAGTGAAACGGGAAGAGTATGGATAAAGCCTCAGCACAACAGATATTTACATATGATTTGCTTGCTTGCTTGCTTGCTTTCCTATTCTTGTTTTATAGTAGAAATCCAGTTTAGAAGCCAATGCAGCAAAATAATCAAATGCATGTTAAGCTTGCCAGATATGGCCTCCCTTGGTTAAGCCGAAAGTAACGGCAAACATCGCAATAACAGACTGCAAACAACAAGTTTCTTTAAGAACAATTAACTTACAGAGAGTACCAGTGTTTCATGTTTCATATAATAAAAGAAGAGTCAGCTCAAGATCAGAACGCATGATGAGTCACGTATAAATTAATCAAAATGAGAGGTAAATTTATTAAGATGTAGTAGTAATTAGCAGTAATTACCATATTGAGTAAAAATTTATATATTTTATTAATTAGGTGGTACTTACACACCGATGACAACACAATCAACTTTTTGGCAAAGAAACAACGCAATCAACCTCTTAATATAGATATACATACAGAATGCACAGTCAGATTTGCAGTCACAAATAGAATGGTTGGTAACTATCATAAATAAATTAATTAAAGAAGACAACAATAACAAGCAACTTACTTAGAAAAATGGGAGAAGAAGTTTTTCCAGTGCTCAATAAATTGGATGATATATACACTCATTCTCACCCACATGCATGCATGTGCCTTTTTGTGTATAAATATGTCAAGACCAGAACCAGATCATAGTCAATATAGAGAGAGCAATCCCAAAATATTGGAGGAATTGAGCTGTACGACAAGTTGGCGACCATGACTTATCATTAACAATGCTGTGCCTAGAATCTGAAAGAGTGAAACATACTTAATATCTATGCACCATTTATTCTTTTTTCCCCCATTATAATTTACCGAATAATGAGCATACATGAGCTTGGAAACAACAAAGTTCCATTTTCCAATGTTTATGTGAAAGTTAAGGTTAATAGCTATCACAAAGAGACTAGATGACGATGAACTAAAAATTTCTTTGTTGTTATCTCTAACATATCTTGTTCAGCCTATTTCTCTCCATATTCCTTTGTCCAATCTTACCTAAAATAAGAGCAACCCTACTGCCAAGGGAACAGAGAACCCTTCTAGTAATCAAGACTCTTGGAGACTTACCATGGTCAAAGAGTCAGTCCTCTAACATTCTACTCGTCAACATTAAGGCTTGCAAAACCACCTTTACTAGGGCTAATTTGCAAGCCTGAGATGCCCTCTGGAATATGTAGAACAGTGAGCACATTATAGAACTTCATATGATCATTGGAGCTGAAACTACCATATAGTCCACAAATTAGAGATGGGAAACTTCGACCCTGTTATGAACAATCCTAAGACCCTCAAACACACCTTCCTCCCTACTTTTAGATAACATATTGACTCAAACATCAATTACAATCATGAAAAAGGGAAAGCATAAAGGAGTCCCTTTGTCCAATACACCTGTCCCTAAACCACTCTCTAGGTTTTCCGTTTAAACAAAACCAAAAAGGCCATGGAAGAGAGACAACCATATTTCGAAATCTGCCATCTTAGACCATATCATTTCCTCTCTAATACATTACCTAAGAAAATACATTAGCTAAAAAATCCAATTCATCCAATCATAAGCTTCCTCAAAGTCCAATTGGAAAAAGAATCTTATTTCTCGATCTGCAACCTTCCTCCGTCACCTTATTGGCGATTAGAGGTATTAAGAAACTGCCTATCTCCAATAAAAACACTCTGGTGAATAGAAATCATAATATCATGCACCTCATTCAACCTCAAACAAAGCACTTCGCTAATGATTTTATAAGTACTTATAACCAGTTTGATAAGGTGAAGATCACATGCCTTTGTGGGATGATACTTTTTAGGGACCAGCATAATAAAAGTGGAGTTCATAAAAGTGTTGATCTTGCCATTTAAGGTAAAATTCCTCCAAAACCTTACTCAGATTACCTTAACGACATACCAACAACTTTTGGAAAAGGTAAATGTGCCATTAAGCGCAGCACCTATCCAAACCAAGAATCCTAGACAACTCCCTCTAACATCATCAAAAGGTTTCTCAATCTAACCATCATGCTCCCAGTAGATCAAACACCAATCTAGGCCCTAGATAAAAGATTGATTCATAACCTCATGCTTATAAAGCTTGTCATAGAAATCAATAATCAAACAACTAATCACCTCTTGATCTCTCTCTATTGTAGCGCCCCCAAGTTCTAATTCCTTGATAAAACTTTTCCTCTTTGTCCCAATAACCACTCCATGATAAAACTTTCTGTAATCCATTCATTTTTTACTTTTGCCTCCAACTGATGTCTTCTTTAACAAAAATATCCTCAAAATCATTTAACAGAGGACAATTTAACAAGTTGATTATCATTCGTATCATATCTAATGTCATCATATCAAGGATGAAAAATCTCTTCAAGAATATCATTTTCCTAGTTCTAGTGTCACCAAAGACCTTCTTCTCCCAAACTTTCAACTTACCTTTCAGAAATTGGAACTTCTTCACAAATGTAAAACCCTCCCAACCCTCAAAAGCACTCTCAAAACACCAAGTCATCCTTGATGTCTCAACAAAATTAGTATAAGTTAGCCACATATTCCAAATGAAAAGGTATAGGACCCACCTTAGGCGATTAGACTCCAAAAGAATAGGGAAATGATTTGAAACTAGGTGGTGAAGAACCTCTTGAACCAAATCAGAGAAAGAATCTTCCCAACTATTTTTGAGCGATTGAGTGAAAGAATTTTCCCATCTACTAAAGACTTGATAATAACCAATATGAGAGGCGACAACTCTAATTCTATTCACCAAGCAAGTAAATTGGGCATTAGAAAGAAAGGGCCCTAAGTTCATAATCCTGAATAAAGTCATTGAAACCCCTCAGAATCATTCTCACCCAATTCTCCCCCCAACTTCTCATAGCAATCCTACCAGCATTAAAATAACCTTCAGTACCCCAAAAGCAATTATACAACCCCAAGACAAAAAAAAAGTTCCTTCCAGAAAAAGACCCGAAGGTTAGGACCCAAAGAGAAAAAAACCCATCGACATAATCAGTAAAAGAGGCCACTTTAAAGTCCTAAATCGCAAGAAAAACCCAGAAGCCCCACAAGAGGGATAGGGAGACCAACCCTTGAACCTAGAATCCAAGCACTATGCACTAGCTACGCATCAAAATTAAAACTATTTTGTCTTCTGAAGCAAGAAAATATCTAGGCAAACCCTATAGACAACCTCCTTAATCTTCTTCCTCTCTAAGGAATTGCTCAAATCATTAACTTTCGAACTAGTAAGTTGATCTACTTCTCTCATCCTTAGGATTAACATACTGAATGATAGAGGCTAATCTCTTGAGCACAAGATTAGCTCCACCTTCTCCCTTAACATAAGTCTTAGGATACACTCTGAGAGTAAGTCTTAGAACAAAACTTACCTTCACTTCGTTTCCTAATGAGTCCACTAACCTAAATAAAGTCCATTTCACTAAGGATCTCACTGAAGTGCCCCTTATAAAAAAATAGTGTCAAATTAGCTACTAAGATGAAATTATCAAAATATCAATTTCACAAGAGACTAACAAAACCTATCAACATCATCCAAATTACCTTCTCTAAGAGAATAACTAACTCTATCAACACAGTCCAAATTAGTGTCAAATTGGCAGCACCCATGGTTGGAAGACGGAACCCTTAAAGATGAACATTCTCATATTTTGGTCATAGCACAACAGAAAGATATTATGATTAGTGATTCATTCAAGGATGTAGTGGGGGGAGAGGGGGGTGACTATCCTTTACTAAGTATGGCTGGTTTCTATCCTTTATTCTTCTATTTATTTCCTTTCAGAGAATATCAAATCTTCCCACATTCTCTAATTCCCTTTTTCTTTCAAATAATTCTTTCTCTTATATTTAAATGTTTGCTTTTATGAATTCCTTTTTGCTAATGAAACCTACCATTGAAGTTTCCTTGAGCTTTTCCTCACCTAGAATATAGGTTAAAGACAATACAAGTGATTCAATATCTAATTCCACTAAGCATTCTTCATTACAAGTTAACATAATCATGGATAAAATATTTTGTATCAAGATATGGAAATGATTTTGAGAAGGAAATAAGATGTTGACCAGAACTATTAGCTGAATCAATTATCAAGTTAACATAGTGTCATTAGATCCCAACCTTAAGCAAGCTAGTTTTCTCACTCATGCTAAGTAATAAAATGAAACAGAAAAATTGGGGAATAGAAAAAACTTACTGCTATTGCACAAGCAACATATCCAGGTTTCTCTCTGTAATCCACATGAACACAAAGTAGAATAAAAGTTCCTATATACCAGGGAATCCCACCGAAGAAGAAGCCAATGAGAAACCTAAAAGAAAAGCCGAACAGTAACCGTTACTCACAGGCAGTTGATAAAATCAAAGAACTTATCTTAGCACCATAGATTTTTTTTTTTTTAAAGTTTCTTAAAATCTCAAATTAGTAATATTCATGAACTATCACAAGAGAATCTACTTTTGCGCCTATTTAGCCAAACAATGCAAATGACATATAAGCTCAGGTTTGTAAATCAGCAGTTAGTTAATGGCTGATTAAATTTACAAAAGACACAAACTGCTTTATATGCAATGAAGCACATGATTTTCACAAAATTGTTCCCTAAACTATTTTTCACTCTCCATCTCCTCAATCTCTCACGCTCTCCTTTCTTTCTTTTTTTT